CCCCCTCCCCCTCTCATCCACCTCCCCTCCCCCCTCTCATTCCACCTCCCCCTTTCCCCCTCCTCATCCACCTCCCCTTCCCCTTTCTCATCCACTCCCCTCCCCCTCTATCCCACCTTTCCCTCCCCCTCTCATCCACCCCCTCCCCCTCTTATCTCAAACCCCACTCCCTGCCAATCCATCCCCCCCCTCCCCCTTTATCCCACCCCCTTCCCCTCTCATCCCACCAACCCCTCCCCCTCTCATCCCACCAACCCCTCCCCCTCTCATCCCGCCAATCCCCTCCCTCTCAATCCCACATACCCCTCCCCTCCCCATCTCATCCCACCCCCTCCCTGTCACCCATCACCCCTCCCTCCCTCTCACCCTACCCCTCCCAGCCAACCCATCGTACCACTTCCACTTACACGTCCGAAGCCCGGCACTGAACCTTGCTCAGCGGCGTGGACTGCGAATGGTTGTTGGCGGCGGGGTCCTTCAGGTGAATCTTCCAAGTGGCCGTGGAATTGAAGTGCTTGTCGGCGGCGTAGCATCTCCACAGGCACTGATCAGCATGGCCGCCGCGGGATCTGCCGGTTGAAGTGCTTCTGCGCTGCTTTCTGCTGCACTTTGAGGGCAAGCCGGAGCCCAGGATGCCCTGTCGGTGGAGTTGGGGGAAGGTGGAAAAAAAAGAAAAAGAACAATATATACATTGCACACACATATTATAATTATACACATAAATACATGCATATATACATTACATACACACACACACACACACACACACACACACACCACACACACACACACACACACACACACACACACACACACACACACACACACACCACAACATATATATAATATATATATAACATATAACTATATATATATATATATATATATATATATATATATATATATGTATTATATGCATATATTATAAATATATATAGTATATATTATATATGTATATATATATATATATATAATATATATATATATATATATATTACATACACATATATATGCGATATATTATGCATATATATATATATATATAATATATATAATAATATATATAGTAATATATATAATATTATTAGTATATAATTATATAATATAATTATATATAATGTTTGTGTGCATACAGACACACACACACCACCAAACAACGCACCCACACACACACACAACACACACACGCAAACACGCACACAGACACACACTCGCAAACACACACACACAATCACCATACATACAAACACACACACACACCACACACATATCACATTTCCTCCACAAATTAATCTGCCAAGGAAGGCCTTCACTTCCGCCATACTCACAGCAGGAGAGAAGCGAAGAAGAAATGGCGAAGACACTGAAACACGAGGCCACGATCTTCCCCATCCACGTCCTTGGCACTGTGTCACTCGTAGCCTGCATGGGTTCGTCACGGTGATCCTTGTCGAGGCACTGCATTAAAGGCTCAATATTATTATTATATTAAACTATATAATATAATATATATAATATATATATATATATACTATATATATATATATATATATACTATATTATCTTATAGGGTGAATAGTGAGTATCGGTTTTAAAAAAGGCTGGGTATTCTTGTTGTTTTTGGAGCGTGAAGGAAAGTGGCGTATCGTGAAGGCTGGCAGATTGGCCAGTGACTATGTTTATTGATTTGTTCTATTTATATTATTATGATTATTGTTATTACGATAGGAATCCCGGGAAACCATTAGTTTTCCTTCTAATCTTATTATACAATAACATTATTGAATTACACGTAAAATGATATATTGGTTAACCTTAATCTATTATATATTGTATGTATGATCTATGCTATACACACACAAACACACACACACACACACACACACACACACACACACACACATAATATAATATATAATAATATATATATAAATAGTAACATACAATATATAATATTATATAATAATTTATATATATATATTATACATACAATACTAATAAATAATATAATATATATAATACTATATATATATATATATACATATGTATATATGTATATATGTATATAAATATATATTATATATATACTATAAATGTAAAACATATGTTATATATATATACCATTATGTATATATATACATGCATATGTACATAAACATATATATTATATAATATATATAATAAATAATATATATATAAATATATATAATATATATATATTACACAACCACACACACACATTACACACACATATATATAAAATTGTGTATGTATGTATTATATATAATACATATACATATGTATACACACACATATTACATAATTACAAACTGCCACGTAACCCTTTACCCCCACTCCCCTCCCTTTCAGCACCCCATTTCCCCCCCAAAGCCCCCCCCATTCCCCCCTTCGACACGCACACCCACCACAAGCGTTCAGCGTAAACGGAAAAGTCTCCCTCCCCTCGTCCGTGTCCTCTTCTCCGCCATACACAAGTTAGACGAAAAGATAGCCAAGGAACCCGATGTAGAGGGTCGTGATCAGCTCCTGCCGGGGCCGGAGTGTGAGCATTGGCTAATCGACGGTTCGCTTGGTGGTGATGATGATGGTAATATTGTTGATGATCATTGAATAATCAATGATACTAATAATAATAGTAATGATATATAATGATAACAATATGATAATGGTAATAAAGATGATTAATTAATCATGATGATGATTAGGATGGTGATAATGATGATGATATAATCCTTATCACTGACATCATTACTGACAAAATGATTGTTATTATCATTCATGATCACAAAGAAATTTCAACATTGTTAAGAATATAGTATCACTGCCATTAAAAATATATCATAAACTCTAATGATAATAGTACCAAAATATAAGAGAATAAAAAGAAAAGTTGTTGTAAGATCAAGTTTGCAAATATTTTGGCCAAAAATCATAGTAAAACATCCGATTAAACAGTCAATCAACAAACAAGAAAATAAACAAAAACAAATTGAAAAATGGCCGCAGAAAGTGCAAAACTCATGGAGGTTTTCACAAAAAGAATGTCTAAGATTTTATCAAAAGGAATTTCTATTGCTCAGATAAGCTTGGGGCTTGATGTCTGACCGTCATTATTCGCATTAATCGAAAATTATTAATTGAACTCCATAGATGAATGGTAGTTCAAATAACCAAATTTCAAATGGTCATAGTCATGCTTCCTCTTTCCGGCTTCGAGTGTAACATTCTCTGAAAATTTCAATTTAGCTTCAGTTTTCACCATCCTGCTCGGCTTTCCTTCTTTTTCGTATCAGTATTTTTTATAGCATTTCTCGGTCCTACTTCTTGCCTTCTTCTCCCCCCTCTCTGCTTCTCTCACGCATGCTTAACTCATTGCCCCCGCTGCCTCCTTGTGCTTTTCAGCCATCTTCTGCTCCCTCCTCCTTTTCTTTTTCCACGAGCATGCTTTCCTCGGCTCTTCCCGCCTCCTCCTCTTCGCTTTTCACGCATCATTCTCTCCTTCTCCCTCCTTCCTTTTTTTTCACCATCTTTTTCTCCTCTTCAGCGCCCTCCTCCTCTTCTTTTTCTAAGCCTCTTCTCTGGCCTCTCCTACCTCCTCTTTTTCACATCTTCTTATCTCCGGCTATCCTCCTCTTCTTTTCACATCCTTCTTCTCTCATGCCCGCTTCTCCTCTCTTTTCACAATATTGCTCTCTCTCCGGCCTCCTTCTTTTCTTTCGAAGCCCTGGCTTTTTCTCGCGGCCCCACCCTCCTCTCATTCTTCTTATACTCCGCCCCTGCCTCTCTCTCTCACATCCTTTGCCCTTAGTGGTACTTCTCAACGCGTCCCCTCTTCTGCACCTCTCCTTCCTCCTGCTCTTTGCCCCTTACATACCAACCTCGGCACACGCTGCACTCGCAGAACTTTAACCTGTCTGTGGATGAAGACTACGCGACCAAGGAGCGGCCTGCCAAGTGCCTCCCTTGTGCTGTCCACGTGAAGCATTGCGAAGAATCTGCAGAAATCTTATGCCTCGGAATGGCCCGAAGTTAGGCGAAACACTTGCCGCCGTTGGATCCGAAGCGCCAGCGGCACCACTAACGCGACGCGCAACCACGCACTATCAGGTTCTGCAAGGGTGGGGATGGTGTTAGGGATGGTGTTAGGGAGGTGTTGATAAATAGGTAAATTGGTGGACACTTCAGGGTAACTAGGGTTCGTAATATTCTTTTAAAGGGGCGGAAGTGATGAAAGCAATCGATTAGTTGGGGAAGTAGGTAATGATAATCATAACTAATAACTATTATCATAATACTTGAATAATGATAAAAAGATGTTTGAGAAATGATAGCGATATGTGAATGATGAACAAATAATTATATACTAGTACAGTACCTTATTATTTTTGTATAGTATACACTATACATATACATATATTATAATATATTAATTTGCATATAAGTAACATAATAGACATAACATACATACAGGTGATAATTATATAAAATATATATATATATATATAATATAAATAAGTATATAGTAATAAGCTTATATACAATATATAATTTTGTAATATATAAACTGTATATACATATAGCATATAACATATGATAAAGGCTATTATTTTAAATATGATATACTATAATATATTATTAACGGTATATATATGCTGTAGTATATTTAATATTATTTATGCACATATATTATATATAATATATAATATAGTTTACATATAGTGTGCTCACTTAACTAATATAATAGACTACTATGAAATTATACTATAATATATATAGTATAATTACTATGGAATAATATATATCATTGCGATCACAGCACACACACACAGTGGATTATCGACTGTCTCCACCACAGCACACAACTTAATTCACCACACAACAACACGTCTTTATTTCTGTGCGTTACGACATATCGTGGCAATTTATTTGTTTGTGTGCAACACATATATTAATCTGTGGAGTTTCAACACATCATATCTGATTATCACACAACACACACAGACACATAGTAATATTTAAATACTTAGTAAATTATATAATATAATTCGAATTAATAGCCATACACGGTATAAATTATAACAATTACAAATACATAGCATACAGATAGCACACACAAACACACACACACATTTGATATAAAACTTCAATCAATGATAGGTTAGGAGGTTACTCTTCACAACACATTTCACCAGCACATAACTCGATCCATTGACAACACAAAGCGCAACCACACACACAAACACACACACACACATCTCATATATGCTCGGTTATTTGTTGAGATTTCACACATCATGAGACTACACACAACACAGATATATAATAAGGTGATATAACTATAAAATAAATATATAATGGAGGTATAATAACATATATTAATATGAATATTATATATATATAATAGTATTAGTATTATATTAGTATTCATTCATATATTATATATAAGTATGATTATACAATATTCATATAACTATATATATAGTATATAGACATATATCATAATTATTACTACTCGTACTAATATTAAGATTATAAATACATTATATTAATTTAGCATACAATATGAGCCTAATATAGTAGTATATATCATATAATATATTACGTACTATACTAATATTTCCAAGAATATATAGGTATATATATATAATATTGTTACTTCAGTAGTAATTACACTCGCTATAGATTATAGATACATGATGATATTATAGTATATATACTATATATTAATACATATATAATATATAAATTTATATACTGATAATAATATGATACTTTTATGTATATGTCAATGTATTATATATATCATGTATAGATATATATCTATTGATAATGATATATATCTATAGGCTAGTATTTTATATGATGATATACACTATATAAATATATACTATATATAATCAATATATTATATCACACACACACACAACACACACACATACACGATCACCACAACAACACAGCACACACACACCTACACACACAGTCACCACACAGAACACACACAGTGCTCTGTACTCTGTAATTAATGTAGTATGATGAAGAGTGTACACAGCACAGCACACACAACAGGCATATGGAGGCGGATAGGTACGAGTGACTACACACAGCAGCGCATCATTTCTACAGATTCTTATTGATGGAGGCTTTAACACAGCTTACGTATTATAATATGCAATTTTGTCACACATACATATATATATAGTATTTTATATATAGTATAATTCTATCTATACCTATACTATAAATACTATATTATATATATGATAAGCATACTAAATATTAGCACACACGCACACTAGCACACGGCTCACCATATTCACACACCGGCACACACACTACACCATTTCACAACATATATATATAGGTATAGGTGTATATACTATAATAATATAAGATATATAATATATAATATCAGTGATATTTATAATATAATTAGGTTAAATATTATTCACGATTAGTTTATAGTATATATCGACAGGTCAAGGTGACTGCACACACACAGTCACACACACAACAACAGCACAAGAGTAATCGTTTCTTTTCGATACAGCCTGTGAGCTATGGTAGTTTGTATAATTTGTACACACTACACACACACACTACACACATATAATATTATAATTTTATTATATAGTAGTATATATAATAATATTAGTAACTATATATAATATATATAAATCATATTAGTAATTACTATGATTGATACTCATATATATATATATATAAGGTATTATAAGTAATATCATAGTATAATCAGGTGAATATCTATAATATATATAATATTAACCTGTATGTATGATTATTAGTGTATATATTATGAAGATATATATAATGAACATTAAATACTCAATTAATGAAGCAATATTTATAGGCATTTATTGCGTCAGAACTTACCTATGATAACATATTGGTTTATCGCTGATTATACACTCGTACATTACTTCTTTCCAAAAAAACCACAGTACTGTGGAACCTGCTACGGTGCAGCGAACGCTAGCGCCGCAGCCTACAACCTACGCTATCACAATTGATTCCAGAACGTGGAGTGACGGCAAATTTTGAATTCAAGCGAACTCTAAAGCAGATTTCCATGGAAATGGAAGAATTAACAAGTTTGTTTTGTATTTTATTAGTAAGAGAGTGGTTTATCAGCCTGGCAGCGTGGTGTAGGTTTTGAGTTATCTGTGTGTGCCAATTGATCATTAAAATGTGTATTCTGGATTAATATTATACATCGTTAGTTTCATATATATATAGTTGATTTGATTTGTCGTCTTTACATTATTATTTTATTTTCTCTGGTTAAAAAAAATGTTTCATGTATTCAAGGTAAATTAAACACTATTGGCTTAGTGAAATGATGTTGTGTAGTTTTACATTATAGTAATGTGAAAATATGAGTACCGCTAAAGTGTTACATCTTTGTTTGTAAATATTTCAAAAGTAATTTAACTACTCTATGTGTGGTGATTTTCTGTG